CACCAAGATGGCCGTCACTACTGTCTTGTCAACAAAACAATTGACTACCCTCACTATCACCACAATGAAACACGTCCAGAAGAATGTCATGCAAAGCTGCCTGCCTGCCTTCCTTTGATTCTCTCTGAACTGCCTGGTCTTTTTAATGTTCAATGTCAACCATTTGTGCAGATAGCATGAAGTAGAAAAGATCGGCGATGCTAGCGTTAGCATTTCTCCCCCGGGCTTAAATGGTGTATAGAATGATCACACCGGTGACAGTACTCTTCAAAGGGTTCACGAAATATGACTACTACTCTTTTGGGTTACTTAATGTTACTTCATGTTAAGGCTAATAAAAATGATGGGAAGCGAAAGAACGAGCAAGACCCATTGCTGGTATGATAACAACCTGGTACTAAGCACACAGTCATCTTGTTAAAGTTATCTTATCTTAGCTATCTCTTAGTGGAGGAAAACAATTGTGACATCACTTACGCGACTCTGGGATTTGTAGTCTTTCTAGTTGCGTATTTTTCATAGTCTTATATTTCAACAGTTTTACGACAGACTGTGACTTTTTGGACATGGAAATTATTTTTTAAGATTGACAAACATCATATGTGTAATTCATGGCACAATTCAAACGGGATCGGAAGATACGTTTTCTCTCTTCATTGACTTCAATGCATAATTTTTCCGAAATAAGGTCCCATGGACCGGAAGTAGATGGGCGTGACTTCACCACTCTATAAAACATGTCTGAAGTTTTTTTTTGCATTTTAGCCATGCCTCATTTCGCTCTATTTGCTCTTTTCTAGCCCTGTTTTTGCAAGAGCTGATTCTGTGAGAAGTCTCCTTCGCTGCTGTTGTGGCAGACTACAGCGCCACCTACAGGCCTGGCATATGTACTACAGCGTCTCCAGCGCTTTCGAGCGGTCTCTCATTCCCCTGATAGGTGGAGAGTTGCCCATATAGGCGGAGCACCCCTTTTCTGACGTCAGAAAAATTCAAATATTAATCAGCTCCGTTGCAGCCCCGTTTTTAGAGATTTGGGTATGGATGAAAAGAGAGAGGGTTGTGTTTTCTGACACTTGGTGAGTTCCCTGACACACCGGGGACACATATTCATGTATAAAAGACGTACAAAAGTGCATTTGATAGGTCCCCTTTAAGTTATAGACATTAAAACATTTAGTACCAGTATCTTTAAGGAGACCCTTTCATTAATGATGTCAAACTAAGCAATCACTTAGTCTCTTATTTTGAATAATGTTGTGGGGATACAATCATTTACACCTTTAGCACCATGGTGATGTGAGTTTATTAAAGATAAACCCAACACACACTCTGCTCGTGTTAGCCTGATGCTAACCGTTAGCTATCTGCGTGGCCCATAAGGTCAGTCTGCTGCTGTCTCAGATTAGAGAACAGTGTAATCTGATTATCTGCGGTAAACCGTTGTTCTGTCAACCTGTCTGAGCACAAAACACACACTGATCTTTTGTTGAATTAACCGTAGTTTCTCCCTGTCAGTCCATCTGTGTTGCAGAGATTTCCTTTGTATTACCTCTGCAAAGAAGGTTATGTTTTTGCTTTGTTTTTTAAGTCTATCAGCAGGATAACGGGAAAACTCCTGTCCTGATATTAATGAAACTTTGTGGAAGGGTGTTGCATGGGCCAAGAAGAAATAGCTACAAACTGCTACATTTTGGAGATGATTGGTCTTTGCAGAGATCTGCGCTCACCAAGTGTGCTTTTACTTCTTTATCTATCCAATACTACCATGGTTTATTTAATCACACACAGTTACACCTCTTACCTCGTGTTTTAGTCCTGTTTAACATCTTGAAGTGGTTTTTCAATGCTGGTTCACACACTAGCGCAGCGTCATTGAGGTGTGTTTGTACAATGGTAGGGTTCCAAAACAGACTTCTTGGTCGATATACAAAAGATCATTTTGTACTCCTTTGAACATACTCGAAAGGGGGACTCCGGTCGATTTCATTCACTCTGTGTTCGTAGTAAATGCACTTTTTGAGTGCAGGTGTTCTGAACGGCGCATAAATATTTCATCACATGTGTGTGTCTCACTTTCACCGCCTGGCACCAGTATCATGTGACCGGCTGAGTGTTTTCTGACCACTGTGGTGATCTGGAAGCAGCACCAGAAGGAATGAGGCTCTTACTGTGAAACAAAGGAGATTGAATTGTTGGTTGGCCTTAAATTATGTTCTTATAGTTATCATCAATAAAGTAAAAGTAAAGAAAGGGTGAAATATGGTCAGAAAATTGCAGTTTTACCATGATGAGAAGCTTCAAAGGTTAAGTTGAAATCACAGCTCAAGCCGTGTGTGTGTGTGTGTGTGTGTGTGTGTGTGTGTGTGTGTGTGTGTGTGTGTGTGTGTGTGTGTGTGTGTGTGTGTGTGTGTGTGTGTGTGGCAACCAAGGCCTGAGGTGTATTATAGTCTGATGTGATCTCAGTGTGCAGATAAAGCTGTGGTGTAGGAAAAACAAACTAAACCATTATGTTGTTTTTAGTGCTGGGCAACGATTAATTAATTAATCGCAAGATTTTCTGCAATTAATCGCAAGATTTTGTTATGCGCAAAATTCAACAATGAATTCAAAAGTATTGTATTGCTCACTTTAATTAATTCACTTTAAAGTACTGCTATATGAACAAAGGTGCAATAACATTTGGTTTGCAAACACTTTAAACAAATTAGGTGTTTCTTAACAGCAGCATTCGTCTTTACACAGTAGCAGTTAAAATATTGATTGGAAATCTCAACCTAAACATTAATTAATGTAATCAAATCAAATATAAAGCTATTTGCCAATGCCAGTGCATTACCATGTTATCTAGTTTGTTATAGAAGAACAAGTTACCCTCAGATTCCAGAGATAAGAAAATTCATCTTAGCAGTGGTTACAAATAATTCTGGTTCTATCAACTCTGCCGTCTGGAAGAGATGTAAGAGTTAGGTACATTTCTCCATGTTCTCCAAAAAGTGTTTATTAATACAGTTGACCTATTTATCTAGATTTCATTCATTTTTGTGAATATAACCTTGTGAATTTGCAATTTTTTAAGTTTGCATTGTTATTTCAGACAAATACATTTTAACCAATTTCCCAGGATAAAGGCATGATGAAACAACAAAGGAAGCCTATTGAATTAGAGCTGCACGATTAATCGAAAAAGTATCACATTTTCAATATGGACTATTGCAATATCAAAACCTATGTTAAAAAAAAAAGTAGGAACAAATATAATTGAATATGAATTATGCCTGTTTTACACATATTTCTTGTTTGGTACAAATCACACCATGGTCATTTGAATATATTTTATCACGATTGCAAAAATAATCACAATCAATTGTTTTTCTCAAATGTGCAAAATAACTGATTGTGCACATTAATCACTTAATCCCATAATTATGATTAAGTGATTTTTATTATGAGAGGAACAACATAAGAAAGATAGATAGAAGTTATTTTAGATCTGTCGTGCTCAGCAGCACTGAGCAGATGCTGTGGCCGCGGTGTGAGGACAGCAGTCCGTCACATGGACACCAGCTTACAGCTAACCCTCCCAGTACCAACACTGCTCCAGGGTGTTGGTTTAGCAACCGTCGCTGTGTCTGAGAATGTTGGAGCTTGTTGTGGGGGGGCAGCTCCAGTAGAAATGTACTCAGATCCCCTCAAACCAGCAGTGATGTGAGGGGCTGGGACAAAAATGCTATAAATCCCCACAGAGGCTGTGCCCTTGAGCAAGGCAATACCTATATCTTGTAGCCCATTCATACACATTTGTGTTGTTTTATTAAAGAATGTTTTTTAGTATATTATTTTAAGATTTGTAAACAGTTTTTACACCGTAAAACTGTCATTTATTTTAGCAAATATTTAAGCACATACTATTTTAAAAAAATATATATATATTTAAGGTGGTTTGGCTTATTGAAAGATGATTCCAGTGTTGTCACTACATCATATTTTTGAAATGTATGAGCTCAAACAGAATAAGCAAACATGAAATACATACATTTAAAAAAAAAAACAGGTGAACAGTACAAAATGAAAAATCCAGAGTAGTCCCTCTAAATAAAGTATACTCACAAAAAGCAATGAAAGAAACACTTAAGTAAAAAAAAAAAAACAGGTGAACACAACAAAAAGAAAAAAGAATCCCAGTGCAGCCCCAAAACATATGCATGCATGTAGCACGGAAAGGATTTGGCTTATTGACAGCTGATGTACTTGCAGGATTCTTGTTGTTTTGAGTTTGTATCTTCATAGTGGATGCCTGTTATAAGTTGCGTTAGGTAAAAGCTTTAAATATATATGACATTTAGTGTAACATCCCTTCTGTTTGCCTTGTGTGTGATCTGTTGTTCCCCTCAGGTCCATCCAGTCTGGCTCCTTATTGAGTTCCTCAGCCTGTCTTAACTTAATTTCACTCTGCAGTCCTTCCTGATCCACATACCCAGACAGATTTAAGCTCAATGTTCCCCCCCCCTCCAAAGGCTGTGTGGTGTGTGTTCATTTATTGGCCCATATTTGGGACTCTGGTTGGTAAACCTGCCTGCAGAGCAATAATGCAGACAGAACTAGATGTATCGGCAAATCCTCATCTTTTATTTTTATGAAGCCACCTGATGTTATGTGAAGATGTCTGACACACTTTTCCAAAAAGCATGCTCGGAGATATTGTTCAATTCAACAGACAAAAATGATTTATTGAAGAATAAACTCTGGTAAACTTTCCAAAAATAAAAATCCTAATAAATAATTTTAACCCAAAAACAAACACTTCCTCTGTCTATTTTAATACTCAGCTGCCACACCCACTACAGGTGGAGAGTGACCTCATAGGTTCAGTGCAAAAAGCTGAAGCCCATCATCAGAACATTATCACATAAATAGCTCAATGTTTCTGTTCATATATTACTCAAAAGCTTAAAAGTTGATCTTGTGTTAAAAAAGTTCTCTTTCTCTCTGTTCTTCTCCAGGTGGCACAGACGGTCTTCTTCCAGAGAATTCCTTTGAGGGGTCCAAATATGAGTTTGGCAGCATCGGCCTGGCCCTGTACAGCGGTCTGTTTGCTTACGGCGGATGGTGAGTTACACACCAACGGACCTGTGTTATCAGGATGCAAGCCACTGTGCTGCCCTGTTCATTATATAGTGTCCCACGTTCTGATAATGTTTACACATTGCAGTAAGAACGAAATATCGAATTGACATTTTCTATGGTTGGTTTTACACTTCAGTGTTCAGGCTTGCAAACAACTGTTGATTTAAACACAATTACATTACATTACATTACATTGCATTTAGCTGACGCTTTTATCCAACGCGACTTACAATAAGTGCATTCAATTCATGCCTAGATAGGTTAACATTGAGTGGTGCAGCGATGACATATTCTTGTAGGTCGACCCAGAAGTAAGCAATGCAAGGTCTCTCTCGACAAAAAAAACTTTATGATTTTTGAAGTGTAAATACAATAGCCAGAAATAGAAACATAACATCAGGTAGACCCTCCAGAAAAACGCGGGCAAAAATCCTTAATTATGCGGGCTAAAATCCTTGATTATGCGGGCTAAAATCCTTGATTATGCGATTAAACATGCAGGGTTTTTATGTGATTTTATGCTGTGAAATTGCGGGAAGTTGCGAAATATTTTTTTCATCTTGGTGTTTTCTCTCTCGTGTGAGTTCCACACGTTCACTCTACGGTGTTGTTTACCTTCTGTGATGCGCGAGCTGATGACGTCGCGTCATCATCATCACTACTTCACGTCAAGACAAGTTAACTTTTTTTCTCTCTCAACTTTGTGTGGAAAAATGCGGGGATTATGCGGCCTTTTGATAAATATGCGGCCTTTCAAAATCTGCGCCATTTTGCTGATTATTTGGTAAATTCTGCGATCGCAGAATCACTTTTTTCTGGAGGGTCTAATCAGGCTACAAACAAACTAAATCACAGTCACATGACTTTGTGTCAACAACCTCTACAATAGGTGGCAAATGTTTGGTGGTAGAATGTTTAGTAATCTCACTTTATGTTTGTTTGGCCGCATCCCAACATTTTGTCTGCTCTGCCTACAGGAACTACCTGAATTTTGTCACTGAAGAAATGATTGAGCCTTACAAGTGAGTATCCATAAGGATACGTTTATGATAAAATACAGGCTTGTTTGCAGAACATTGATTAGTAGCCTGGAGTTTTTACTAAGAATGTTTGCTTATGTTCTTCAGAAACCTTCCCCGGGCCATCATGATCTCTCTGCCCATCGTGACCGTAGTTTACGTTCTGACCAACCTGGCATACTTCACCTCACTCTCCCCTGAGGAGATGCTCGGCTCAGAGGCCGTGGCTGTTGTGAGTACACCCTTACTTTCTGCTACTTACTCTGTATAAAGTATGCCATATTCCAGATATTTACTATAAACTTACCTTTTTAAAGCTGGTAAAAATTATAAATGTACATATCAGTTGATCAGTTATTTAAATTACTTTTTTTGATCTCAGCAGGAAAATTAAGTTGTTTCAACAGCACAATGACAGCTTAAGAAGCGTTAAATAGACAAAAAACTAGAAAAAAAAGGTATATAAAAAAATGTAAGAATAAAAATGAAAAATATATTAAAGCAAATAGACAAAAAAATGTATGGTGACCGACACGTGCAAAAACACTACGACAGCACAAAACACTTTCATTAGGAGAAACGTGTGTAAAGTTGGCCATCTGACACTGTCACATAGTTATTCTGTTTCTTATTTTTAAGTATTTTTTCAGTATTCTTTAAATGACTTAGTTAGCTAGCTAGCTTACAGCAGATCTTCAAATATATCGGAAGCAATCATGCAATCACATTGTTAAAATAAGCCGATAAAACTAAAATTTTAGGTACGTTTCTAGTGACCGTGATGGCCAACTGTTTTGAGGGTTTTCAGAATCAGAATCAGAAAACCTTTCTTCGTACCAAAGAGGGGAAATTAGCATTTTTTTGCATCAGTATTTTGTTTATGCGCATGTGTTTTCAAGTTGGTGAAGATGTGTTTTGGCAAATGTGTGTTTTTATATTTCCCTTTTCTTTTTTTTTTAGTGCAACGCGTTTCTTCTAATGCAAATGTTTTGGGCCGTTGTAACGTGTTGTCAACTGTCAACCACCGTAGTTCGTGACACTTTGTTGTGCGTGTTTACGTTCAGTCCGTTCAGTAATCCGTTCTTAAATATATGACATAACATATATTTCAAATATGAAAATGGTGTATTTGGGTATAATCTACTGATGATTTTTGCTGAAGTGGATGGCAATTAAGAGGTAGATTTTTGTCAGAAAGTCGGTGGTTCAATCCCCACTCCCTGCAGGCAACATGTCGATTTGTCCTTTGGGCAGAATACTTGACCCTAAATTGCTTCCGATGGCATGGTAAATTATGTTTAAATGTGTGTGAATGTTTCCTGAGTAGGTGGCACCTTGTTACTTAACTTATTTGTGTGTCCTGCAGGATTTTGGCAACAAGCACCTGGGTCCCATGGCGTGGATCATCCCGGTGTTTGTAGGTCTGTCCTGCTTTGGATCTGTCAACGGCTCTCTGTTCACATCATCCAGGTATATACATTCACACTATCTAACCAGGCTTGTGGAATTGATTAACAAACATGCATAAACACACACAGAATATTAAAAAAAGATGATTGTAATCATTTATCTGTTCATACAAGGGTGATCAAGTGCCAACAAGCAATATGTGAGACAGAATATGTGTGTGTGGGACATGTTACCGTGATGCTGAGAGGTGCTTTAGATTTCGATATAATGTCCATCTAACCCCAAAAGATAAACCCCGCCCAGTTTCTGGTGAAAACAAAGAATCGTATCCAGGCAGAAACCTTTTTTTTTAATTACAGGACTGTCTCAGAAAATTAGAATATTGTGATAAAGTTCTTTATTTTCTGTAATGCAATTAAAAAAACAAAAATGTCATACATTCTGGATTCATTACAAATCAACTGAAATATTGCAAGCCTTTTATTATTTTAATATTGCTGATTATGGCATACAGCTTAAGAAAACTCAAATATCCTATCTCTAAATATTAGAATATCATGAAAAAGTATACTAGTAGGGTGTTCAACGAATCACTTGAATCGTCTAATTAACTCGAAACACCTGCAAGGGTTTCCTGAGCCTTGAAAAACACTCAGCTTGGTTCAGTAAACTAAATCACAAGTATGGGGAAGACTGCTGATCTGACTGCTGTCCAGAGGACCGTCATTGACACCCTCCATCAGGAGGGTAAGACACAAAAATAAATTTCTCAAAGAGCAAGCTGTTCACAGAGTGCAGTTTCAAAGCACATCCACAAAAAGTCTGTTGGAAGGGGGAAATGTGGCAGGAAACGCTGCACAACCAAGAGAGATGACCGCAGCCTTAACAGCATTGTGAAGAAGAGTCGCTTCCAGAATTTGGGGGAGCTTCAAAGACAGTGGACTGAAGCTGGAGTCCAGGTAT